TCATTTGGGGGTTGGCCAATATGGGAGGGAATTTAGCAGAAGTAACAGCAGGAAGTCGGATGTTTTTATTTTCTAAATAAGATCAGATAGTCCACTTTTAGACAAAATTTGATCTAAGTTAAATTGGTCAAAATGTACCATCATCGTATTGCTTTTTTATAAGTTCGTCCACACACACAGTGTATATATATATGTACAGTGGTTTGCAAAAGTATTCATACCCCTTGAACTTTTCCATATTTTGTCACATTACAACCACAAACATATATATATATACACACACACACACAGTGTATATATACATATATATACACAGTATATTTATACACACTAGCTAAATTTCATATCCACCGTTGTAAATTTTCTAAACTAAACCCCAAATTATTTTTTATGCATATTTATCCACTTACAGTATATTGCCACTCTAAAATATTGTACCAATGCAAAAGCTTTAAAGACCAAATCAATATGTAATGCATTTCAATTGTAACATGCCCTTGTTTTTTATCCCATGTTTCACATTTTTATGCCTACCTTAAGCCTCGACCTGTTTTTCGTGCTATATGTATCTGCTGTAAATACCTGTCATAAATAAAAATTTGAAAAAAAAAATGTTGTCATTCTGTGGTCTGTGAAAACCACACTGAATTTAAACGCCAGTGAATAAAGCCCCTGCACACCTGAGAATACATCCTGTTCAGCCTGAGTAAAACAATGAGACCCAGTATTTTTACACTACACTAAACTAGTGAAAAATTAAAAATAACAAATAAAATGAAGACTAAAGGAGGAAAATAAAAAAAACTAAATTCAAGTTTTTCCATTCAATCTATTTCTTTAGATTGACAGATGATTTGTTATACTTTAAGCTGATTTCGCTTCAGAGTTAACCCCCCTGTCTGATGGCTGTAATCCCGCTGGGTGTGGTGGCTCACACCTGTAATCCAAGCTACTGGGAGGCTGAGGCTGGAGGATGGTTTGAGCTCAGGAGCTCTGAGCTGCAGTGATCTATGCTGATCAGGTGTCCGCACTAAGTTCGGTATCAATATGGTGTTTCTGGGGGAGCTCAGGACCACCAGGTTGTCTAAGGAGGGGTGAACCGGCCCAGGTCGGACACGGAGCAGGTCAAAGCCCCCGTACTGCTCAGTAGTGGGATCACACCTGAGAATGGACACTGTTGTTCAGCCTGAGTAATACAGCGAGACACAGTCTTTTTATACTCATCACTAAACTAGTGTCATAACACAAACACCAAATATTACATCTTTACGTCACACAGCTGCTTCTCTTTGACTTCTTTTAACAAGTAAAACCTTCAGAAAGCAGCTGAGATATTTGTCCTACAGCGCCTCCATCTGGAGAACAGCTCACATAACAAAAACATTTAAAAAATAGTTTCCAAATGAGGAGAATCAAGTTTCAAATTAAAACAAAACACCGTAGTAACATTTCAATTTGTTTATTAGTCGCCTAGATTAAAGCTCATGGTCTTCTGGGTGGTAAAGTTCACTCATCAGTCGGTAAATGTATGACGGTGCGTGTCCTCCGATGTTGGAGATGAACAGCGTGATGAGCTCAGGGGGGACGTAGTCGAACACGGGGCAGTGCACGTTGACTTTAGAGAGGATCTCACCTGAAATATTAAAGACAAAAGTTTAAAACCAGAGTTAACATTAAATCTGAAGCCTTTAGACTTCACGCAGCTTTAAATTAGATTATTATTGCTTGAAATTAATTATGGAAAAAAGGGGCAGATATTATAAGAGATTTTCTTCTTTCTGCCTCCTTTCTTTTCTACGACGAAGTATTATGGCCACACGAGATTTTTTAATTATTATTACGAGATTAAAATCATAATATTACGAGATTAAAGTTGTAATATTACAACAATAGTCATAATTTTACGAGAATAAAGACACATTACGAGATTAAAATCATTATATTATTAAATTTATAATTTTACGAGATTAAAACTCATAATCATTATGTTTCTGTTTCCCGTTCCTCATTTCATTTCCTCCTTTTTTCCCCTCACACCTGCAGTGTACAGCCAAGTGTCTGTGTTTATAAAATAGTCAATGATGACTCGGGTCAATGTTAGATTAATATGCTTCCATCCAAAATTAGCTACGTGACGACTTAATCCGTCATTGCATCCATTAATTACAATACGGCTTCAGTTTAGTCGTTTGCACAATTTCCAAGTCCTGCTACTGATAATTTGATGCTAATGTGCTAAAAGATTAACTATTTATTTATAGCAATACTAAAGAACAACTTGACAAGTTGCTCAACAGTCATCATTTTAAAGCAGTGATAACTGCATGCTTTTTCATGTAAAGGCTATAATATTATGACTTTTTTTCTCATATTATTATGACTTTATTCTCATAATATTACGACTTTAAACTCATAATATTACGACTTTAATCTTGTATTACGACTTTATTCTCATAATATTACGACTTTAAACTCATAATATTACGACTTTAATCTTGTAT